TATATATATATATATATATATATATATATATATATATATATATATATATATATATATATATATATATATATATATATATATATATATATATATATATATATATATATATATATATATATATATATATATATATATATATATATATATATATATATATATATATATATATATATATATATATATATATATATATATATATATATATATATATATATATATATATATATATATATATATATATATATATATATATATATATATATATATATATATATATATATATATATATATATATATATATATATATATATATATATATATATATATATATATATATATATATATATATATATATATATATATATATATATATATATATATATATATATATATATAAATATATAAACTGATATGTAGTTAACACAACTGATTACAGTGCATCTAGAAAATATTCATAGAGCTTCACTTTTCCCACATTTTTTATGTTAAAGCCTTATTCCAAAAAGGATTTAATTTATTTATTTCCTAAAATTCAACACACAATACACCGTAATGACAATGTGAAATTATTTTTCTAAAATGTTGCAAATTTATTAAAGGTAAAAACCTGAAAATCATATGTATGTAAGTATTCACAGCCTTTGCTCAATACTTTGTTGATGCACCTTTGGCAGCATTACATCCTCAAGCCTTTTTGAATAGGATGCCACAAGCTTGGCACACCTGTCTTTGTGAATTTTTGCCCATTCCTCTTTGCATTACCTCTCAAGCTCTATCAGGTTGGATGGGAAGCAACGGTGTACAGCCATTTTCTGATCTCTCCAGAGATCTTCAATAGGATTTAGGTCTGGGCTCTGGCTGGGCCACTCAAGAACATTCACCGAGTTGTTGTGAAGGCGCTCCATTGATATTTTGGCAGTGTGCTGTGGGTCATTGTCCTGCTAGAAGATGAACCGTCGCCCCAGTCTGAGGTCAAGAGCATTCTGAAGCAGGTTTTCATTCAGGATGTCTTTGTATATTTTTGCATTCCTCTTTCCCTCTATCCTGACTAGTCTTCCAGTTCCTGCTGCTTAAAAACATCCCCACAGCATGATGCTGCCACCATCGTGCTTTACTGTAGGAATGGTATTAGCCTGGTGATGAGTGCTGCCTGGTTTTCTCCAAATGAAACGTCTGGCATTCACTTCAAAGAGTTCAATTTTAGTCTCATCAGACCAGAGAATTTAGTTTCTAATGGTCTGAGAGTCCTTCAGATGTCTTTTGGCAAATTCCAGGCGGGGAGTTGCTTCCGTCTGGCCACTCTACCATACAGGCCTGATTGGTGGATTGCTGCACAGATGGTTGTCTTCCGGAGCTCAGACAGAGTGACCATCGGGTTATTGATCACCTCCCTGACTAATGCCCTTCTCCCCTTATCACTCAGCTTAGATGGCCGGCCAGCTCTAGTCCTGGTGGTTCCAAACATCTTCCACTTACGGATGATGGAGGTCACTGTACTCATTAGAACTTTCAGAGCAGCAGAAAGTTTTTTGTAACCTTCGTCAGCAATGTGCCTGGAGACAATCCTGTCTTGTAGGTCTACAGACAATTCCTTTCTCTTCATATAGACGGGTGTATGTCTTTTCAAATCATGTCCAATAAACTGAAGTGACCACAGGTGAACATAGCTGAAACCTCTCAAGAATGATCAGTGAAAACAGAATGTAACTGAGCTCAATTTAGAGCTTCATGGCAAATGCTGAGAATACTTATGTACATGAGATTTTTCAGTTTTTTTTTTATTTTTAATAAATATTTTTAATAAACTATTTTTTTACATTGTCTTTATGGGGTATTGTGTGTAAAAATTTGAGGAAATAAATACATTTAATCCATATTGGAATAAAGCTGTAACAAACATTTATTCATTCATTTTCTTGTCGGCTTAGTCCCTTTATTAATCCGGGGTCGCCACAGCGGAATGAACCACCAACTTATCCAGCAAGTTTTTTTACAGCGGATGCCGTTCCAGCTGCAATGCTGTAACAAACAATTGTGGAAAAAGTAAAGCGCTATAAATCAATTCTGGATGCACTGTACTTTGTACTGAACAGTACTGAAGTTTATTAAGAAGCTCTAAATACAAACTATTTTAAGTTATGCTCACCTAAAAAATTAATACACTACTTGACATAAATGTTAAGGCAATCGGTTTAGGCCAAATAAGATCAAGTTATTACATTTTACAGTGTAGGGTAGGGCTGCACGATTAATCGAAAAAAGATTGTGATCTCGATTCGACCCCCCACACGATATTATTTCAGCTTTTCTACAATTCAGCCAATTATATTTTCAAAGTCAGGAGAAAAGCGTAAAAAGAGGCTGCACAAGTCTTCACATAGACACCTCTAAAGGGTGTTAAAATTGTCATATACTGTATAAGGTATAGTTCACCCCAAAATGTCATATCTGTCTTAATGTAATGACATATTCGCGGCCACGAAATCACGCATGAGCTGACGCACTGTTTGTTTACTACCAAGAGGACATATGTGTGCCTGCCAGTCATATGTACTTTAGTGAACACTTTACTTTAGTGTTTTACCACATGTTTGAGCAACAAAAATAATAATTAAGCTTTATTTTACGCCTATAGAATCGTGAGAAAATCGTGATTTTTTTTTAAGTAAGAATGGCGATTCTCATTTTAGCCAGAATTGCGCAGGACTAGCGTAGGGGCTCTTTAATTTATCATTATAATTATAATCCTATTACAACACAAGCTCGCATTTGTGCTGCTAAAGCTAAACTGTCTCACACTGAACAAAACAAAGATTTATTGGATTTACTACATTACTTTAAGGTAAGTGGTTATTAACAATGTATGTGGGCTGAATTTAAACAAATTAAATTCAGTAATGTTCAACTTAGTTTGTGTATTTAAATTCAGCACCATCGAAATTGTTTGCAAACAGTTAACCTTGAAAAGAATGTAGTAAATCCAATGAGTCGCTTTTTTTCAGTGCGCATGTAAACCCGTATGCACTGTAAACCCGCAAGCATAGTGCATGTGACAACACAGAGAGCATAATCAGAGAGAGAGAGAGAGAGTGGTGCAGCGGCAGTACTCAGGCAGATTGAGCATCATCTCTGGAGGAGGGAGAACGCAAGCGCGCTGCCGCAGCACACAGAACCTGAATGATCGCCATGGCAACAACAGCATCAGTACCAGCAGCATCAGCCGCCGCCGTGAGCCGCTCATGTCAACACTGTGAGCTGCCACACTCACACTAACTCACACACACACACCCTGCCTCTCAACTTAATGACATAGGATCACAGCGGGCGCGCGGATCACGTCTCCGGAGCATCGCTCTGGCAGGTAAGCTGATGGACGGTTACTCTCTTCATTTATCTGTGTTCTTTGTTGTACTGCATTGAGGCTTTTCTTATTGACTACAGTCTTAAACGCTGGCAGGGAAAATCTCCCGGCGCACAGCAAATCCCTGTCAGGAACATATTGGGTGCATATTCTGCCAAACGCAACGCGCCGGCCATCTGGCTTCATCGCATTTCTACACAACAGGCTTGTGACATTGATGTGGACGGTACGTTGTGTGCCGGATGATTCGATTTCGGTTACACTAATTTGGTTGCAGAGAGAGCTAACGTGTGGTTCCAGAGGTCAGAAATAGTTCAGTGTTAACCTGTGTGAGTCATTTGTTGGTTATGTGACGCATGTTTATGGTATGCTGAGAGGAAAAAAGCTTTGGGGTTGAGTGTAAACATCTCTATAGCTGGACTGAACTGGTGGATAAAGACTCCACAAACTTAATGAAGCACATTGCAGTTTTACACTGGATTTACTCCTTTGTTTGTGTGTGTTGGTGCATTTGTAGGGATTTTTTTTTTCTTAATGGAGATGCCAAATATCTACTGATCTAAATGGTGTTTTTTTTGGTGAAGGTCAGTAAATGTGAAGGATTTGGCGAGCTGGACTGCGGATGTCATTTTTGAAATGACGGCCCATGTAAATTCAGCTCATGCCATTTGACTTAGGCTGGCATTTACAGGCCGGTGTGAAAATCTGGAATAATCTGGACTATAAATTGAGCACGAGGGATAATTGCAAATGATTATGAAGACATTTTGAAATTTTCTTTAGAACAATTTTGGTTTTGGTCTAGGGCTGTACAATATAACATTTCAGCATCAATATCGCAATGTGCGCTTCCGCAATATATATATATATAGTGGATATATATATACACATATATATGCAATGTTCAGTCTAAATTACAGTTGGCCAGGAGCTACAGATTTGTATTTAATCACTGCATTTAAGAATATCAAAGAATTTATATGATTAATGCAAAAAAAAAACAAAACAAAAAAAAAAACAGTAGAAATCTTGTCTTGTTTCTTGTTTCTAGTCCAAATATCTACATTATAAAACAAAAACAAGATTATTTCCTTAAAACTCTTAATTTTCACTTATTTTTCTGACAGTGAAAATTAACTAATTTTACTTGGTCTAGAATTTTTTTTTATTATTATTTATATATATTTTTATATTTGGACTAGAAACAAGACAAAACAAAGTAAGAAGAGCATTTTTTTTGCATTGTAATTATGCAGTTTCTGTCCCTGAATACTGTTAGACTCCCCAGAAAACCATCAAATAGTGCTATTCTTGTGAAACTCTATTAATATCTCAATATTTACTGCAGAAAAATAAAATATTGCAAAATCAGATTGTTCTAATTTTGTGCAGCCCTATTTTGATTTATTGACCAATGATGACATTTCTTTAAAGTTTAAAATACTGAAATGTAAAAATGTTTAGAGCATAAAAATGACAAAAAAATTACATTTTTTTTGGGTTTTTTTCCAAATACGTTCAAATGATTTTTTAAGCAAGGTTTTAATTCTATAACATTACATAAATATACAAATCTAGTATAAAATTTACTCACCTCAAGTGGTTCCAAACCTTTACGTGTTTATATTTTCTGTTGAATGCAAGATAAGATATCTTGAAGAAAGCTGAAAACCTGTAACCATTGACTTCCATAGTAAGAAAAACACTTTTCCAACAGGTTTCCAACATTTTTCAAAATAACTTCTTCTGTGTTCTACAGAAAAAAAGAAGCTCATAATGGTTTGAAACAAGGAAATGGTGAGTAAATGATGACAGAATTAAAAATTTTTGGGTAGAATACTGTATCTCTTTAAGTAGCGCATGTCTTCGGACTTTGAGAGAAACCTGAGCACCTAAAGGAAACCCACTCCAACACAAGGAGAACATGCAAACTCCACACAGAAATGCCAACTTGTCCAGCTCAAACTCGAACCAGAGACCTTCTTGCTTTAAGGCGACTGTGCTAAGACGGTGGAAGACATGTTATCAAATCAAAATCAAATAAATATTCATATTTTACTCAAACATACATCTGGTAAATACAGAAAAACTTGCTAATAGCTGCCATAGCTTTATAGATGGTGACATTTAAAAGCAAACCTCCGAGTCCTGCAGGGGCCTGAGCATTTTTTGATGTGTTTAACGCATGTGGCCTGGGCTTGCCGGGGGACTAGAAATACCCTAGATGCCAGCACACTGTTACAGATGTGAAACAGCAGATTTTACAGCACACTTCTGATCAGACAGGTTTGTCCACACTGCTTTAGGCAAAATGTCTTGAGGGAATTTTGTAGGTAAAAAAAGATTTAGTCATTGAAGATGATCTAGAATAAGATCAATATAGAAGATTAAGTTCTTCGTTTTCTGATTGATAATGGATTTTGACTTTAGAATTGTTTAATATTTTGAATGCTGCACATCGCCATATTATAGATTATAAAGGTATAGAATATGGATTTTTTTAAAAAAAATAATGATTATAATTATACCTGAATGATCATTTGACAATGAAATCAACTTTGAATCACATTAATAAATTATACAATTTAAATATATTCTTTTTAAAAAGCAGTGATTTTAAATTGTCAAACTATAATTTATTTTTAGCATTTCCAATTGAGCTTTGGTGAGAAAAGATGATTTTTGTTGATGCCCAAAAAAGATGAAAAATTAGTTTTTTTAAATCACAATTTTTGAGTAGTTTGATGCCATAATTTTTTTTTATTAGACCTTTTAAGCAGTTTGATGCCTTAAAAAGATTTTTTTTTTTTAATTGTTACAATTTTTAGGCAATTTGATGCCTTAAAAAGACGATTTTTTTTACATTTTTAAGCAACTTGATACCTTAAATTTTATTTTAAAAATTTCATCAACAAAGATGAAAATTTAGCTTTTTAAAATCACAATTTTTGAGTAGTTTGATGCCTTACATTTTTGATCACGTTTTAAGCAGTTTGATGCCTTAAAAATAAAAACAAAATAAATCTAATTTTTGAGTAGTTTGATGCCTTAAAAATACATATTTTTAATTTAAATCCCAATTTTAAGTAGTCTAACGACTTAAAAAAAATATTTTTAATCGTTTTTTAATCACACTTTTTGAGCAGTTTGATGCTTAAAAAAAGATGAAAAAATCGATTACAATTTAAGCAATTTGATGCCTTAACAAATGTAATCACACTTTTTGAGCAGTTTGATGCTTTAAACTTTATCACAGTTTTTTCATCAGAAAGATGAAAATTTAGCTTTTTAAAATCACACTTTTTTGAGTAGTTTGATTCCTTAAAAATATATCTTTTTAATTTAAATCCCAATTTTAAATAGTTTGATGCCTTTAAAAAATTAATCAAAATTTTTCATCAAAAAGATGAAAAACTTGTTTTTTTTATTCAGAAATTTTGAGCAGTTTGAGCTTTAAAAAGATGAAAATAAATCGATTACAATTAAAGCAACTTGATGCCTTAACATGTAATCACACTTGAGTAGTTTAATGCCTTAAAAAGATTTTTTTTAAGTTTTTAAAATCCCAATTTTTGAGCAGTTTGATGCCTTAAACAGATGAAAACTATAAATCAACAGGAAAAGAATAAATAAATAAAAGTCTTTATTGATTCCTCATTTCATTGTCAGCATAGGAAGACAACTTGCTTTTAGCTGCATGGTTAAATTATTGTAAGTGACCAGCAAAAATGATCTACCATGTTGTTTGCTCAAAACATCCAAGAAAATAGAAATTTCTTGATGGTTAACTTCATCTCCACCCCCAGTTAAATTTCATTTGTCAAGTACTTTTGCTAAGAAATGCATAATAAACATCAAACAGCCCCTAAAGGCCCATTCACACCTGAGAACTTAAAGAAATAGTTCACCCAAAAATGAAAATGACCCCATAATTTATTCTCCCTTCTTGGAGTATATGACTTTTTTTCTGTCTTACAAACACAGTCATAGTTTTACATCTAATCCTGGCTCTTCCATGTTGTGGTGTTGGATAGTGACTTTTATTTTGAAGCTTTCAAAAGTGCATAAATGCATTGGAAAAACTAACCAATTTAATTCAACAGAAGAAGAAAAAAACTCAAGTAAATGATTACAGAATTTTCAATTTTGGGAGAGCTGTCCCTTTAAAGCAGCAGACAAAAAAACAACAGCCCTTGAACCTGTTGTGTCACATCAGTTGAGAGTAAGACACAGTGAAGCTCAAATCATCTCTTCATCATTTGATATTTGATATCTGCATTATTCCTCCCTGTGTGACTACTGATGATGTTTTTAAACATCAACATCTGAGTCAGGCTTGAATGCTGTAATGTGAGGAGCTCTGTGTGTAAACCCCATCAGACAGCATGTGTGTGTGTGTGTGTGTGTGTGTGTGTGTGTGTGTGTGTGTGTGTGTGTGTGTGTGTGTGTGCGTGCGTGCGTGCGTGTGTGTGTGTGTGTGTGTGTGTGTGTGTGTGTGTATGTTGTCAGGTTTTCTGGGGTCTCTATGAGTGGATTTGTAACAGTTTGTCCTCAGACTGGTCTCATGCGGTCCTGTGACTCTCTCTCATGTGATCACGGTAATCTCTTTTCATGATCCCATTGTTCCAGCAGGGTCAAACTCAGACGAATGCTAAATAAATCTTTTACTGGAACCACTGTCCTACTGTCTCTAGGACAAAGAGATGATGAATACAGCACTGCTGCAAAACACATGCAAATTATCCATCTATCCATTTCTCTATTCGTCTATTCTCTAAATCATCTATCTATCTATCTATCTATCTATCTATCTATCTATCTATCTATCTATCTATCTATCTATCTATCTATCTATCTATCTATCTATCTATCTATCTATCTATCTATCTATCTATCTATCTATCTATCTATCTAATGTCTGTCTTTGTCTGTCTGTCCATCAAACTGTCCATTCATCTTGTAATTGTCTATCTATCATTGTCTATCCAATCATTTGTTCA